TCTCTGGCTCGCCTCTTTTGTGGGTGAGTGAATTACTGCTTTCTTTTGCTCAAGGGCGACTCCAGAAAACAATAAAAACTGATTTTTTTATCAAAGCCTCATAACTTCTTAAAACACCAGCCATCCTTTACAGTGTGTGAACATTTCATGATGAATGGACCAATAGAAATGATTTAAAATAACATGATTTATGTACATTGAGTTGATAGTGTTTTTCTTCCATTTCCTATAAAGTTAGCATCTGCCTTAAAATGCTGGCAGCTGTCGAAAAATAGCTAAAGTTAAAGAAATACACACTTCAAAAATGATGGTTCCTCAAGGGTCCTTTAGTAAAAAAAAAAGGTTCTATATAGTACCATGAACATGCAAAGAACATTGCATAATTATGGTTCATTGCATTGTGAAAGGGTTCTTCAGATTGATGGATAATGTGCTGTAGATGGTTCTATATAGAACCTTTTTGAAAAAGTTCTTGTACTGTAACAAGCTTGACATCTGTAACAATAGAAGAACACTGTTTGGTGCTATATAGAACCCTTTTCCAAAAGGTTCTGTGTAAAACCATCCACAGCATATTCTCCATCAAAAACACTTTCATGATGCAAAGAACCCTTTAATCATGCAAAAGGGTTTTTTGAGTATTCATGGTTCTATATAGAACCATTTTCTTTACTAAAGATCCCTTGTATGATAAGAAAAGGCTGTGCTGAGAAAACTTTTTTTTCAAAAATTCTGCATAATTAAATAGTAAAATGTAACCAAAGTCATTCAGAGTGGTCTGATGCAAAGTGCTCTGTTACAGAGAAGCTTACTGAGCCAGACATCTGAAGAGTTTAATGCCTATAAAAGCTCCTTCACAGGACATTATTACACAAAATGGTTATGAATATGTTTCCTGATGCCTGAGACATTTTATGACAGTATTACAATAAGATTCTGATCTAAAACGTATTTTTTAAAACATATTAATGGAAGAGTTGTAAGGCAAAACAGTCCCAAAAGAAAACATATTTTTTGGATTTATCACTATTTTACCATCATCAACATTTTATATAATATTGATTCAACACCATAGTAAAAAAATTAACCATCTCACATCGAACCGCTCCAAATGACTTTGTTTACATCTCAATGATGGAATTTTGCAGAAATTTTGAAAAAGCGGTGGAATTCTCCTTCAAAAACACCTAAGAGTATTATTGAAAATGTTAGCGTAAAGCACTCTACGGGTCTGTTAGCACATGCAAGATGTTGTATGTAGGTGAATTTGACGAATCTGCTTTTTTAATAAGCATAATGACATAATTTGATTTAATTCAGTAATTCGAATTCTTTCCATTCTGAGTAATTCTGGGAGAGACTTCAGTGGAATAAAGTTGTTTATTCTTACCACAAGCAGCATTTGGCACGCTCCAAATCTTCCTGGCCTTCAGCTTTAATGCTCTTGCTGCTAGTATGATTGAGTCAGCATTAGCACCATATGGGACAGCAGATGCCCCTGTTCACCATTCAGGTGCTTGGTCTGTCTAAGACACGATAACGCATAAGCTATTTCTGAGTCTTTAACTGAAAATGGAGGCTTGCATGTTTTCTCCCCTGATGCTTTCATTCGGAAAGATCAAAATATCCCCGCAGAGCTCTTTTAGCCTCAGGAATGTAGGACAACACACATCGTCTGCTCCGGACTGCGCACTTTCTCCAAACCAGGTTTGCCAGTCAGGGATGAGTAAGAATTGACTTTGTGGACAAGGAAGGAGGAAGGCTCAAACGAGAAGCATCGTGGAATGAAACTGCTTTTTTATTGACATCTTACAGCATGTAGCTTTTAATGCTCAGTGGCTAGCTGGGGGACTAAAGGCTGGGAGAAACCAGTGGGGGGTTAACAAAATCCCACTGAAGATAAACATTAAAAAACTCATGATAACATGCCAGTATGACACTATCAGCACAGACAGCCAGGAAACACAAGGCTTTTTTCACAGTAATTCTTATTCTGGCTAAACAGCAACATTAAGCTTACAATCACAGGCAGCTGCGGGAGCTCACAGGAGAACCACAGGCCCACCCCAGTGTTAAAGGGCCCATGTCCTACATTTGTGTTTTGTGTTCACTTATGTTTGATGTTTGTATAATTTGTCATAATTCATTAATTCTGACCATTTTCCAACCTCTTTGTACCCCTTAGAAATAAACAGGCTTATTCTGTTACTGCGCCTTATGCCATATTGCATATTGCCATATGCAAATGAGCTATATTGACTGTCTGCCCTGTATTATGCCCCATTCAAACAGCAGTCAAGGCTGAAACACTGCTTATAACTTCAGATTAAGTGGGTGGAGCTAAACAGCTGCAGGCGGAATAGGTAGAGATGTACAAATGTGTTCATTAAATGGGCAGGTTAGTTTCCATATATGGACTGGGAAGTAAACAGTGGGTTTTAAAACATTGTGTTTACATGCAAAATCATACTCTTTAATTCAACTAAAGTGAAAAAAAATGTGTTTTTTTTCATGATAAGAAAACAGTCAATCAGATGTGTAGAGGAAAACTGCAATAACAGAGCATAAAAGTGATGGAACCGGAAAGAATAGAGAGATTCAGACCTTGTAAATGCATTTTTATGCCACTTTGTTTCAGCGGTTTTTGAGTCTCTGGATTATCTTATGCAGTAGGTAGTCTAATAATTGTTTAATTGCTTGAAGAAAATATTTCCCTTCCTCCTATTTCTCCCTTTTTTCTTCCTCATTTGATCTGCCTTGTTGAGCACATCAAATTACTTCAAACAAAAGCGAGCAGCTTGCGAGGTGTGGAGCTTTTACAGACTATCCGTATGTTCCTGCCCTGGTTCATTGCATCCTTTATTTTTAGAACAGCAACAAAGTTGGAACTTCAGTGCTGCATTTTTTTCCCTCAGCCTTTGAAGAGCGTTACTGCGTTATTAGTGTTCTGAAAGGCTAACATTGCGAAGTATCATTGGTGGGAGGATAATGCAGATAATATGGATTAGATGGTCTATCTGCATATTTAATGAGACTAATGACCACAACATTTCATAATTAAGGCACAGTTTTGACGAACTATATTTCCTAGGTGTGTAACAGTGCACCCACAATTTGATTTAAATCACAATACAGGCCTCATGATTTGGTATTCTCACAATATTTTGAATAAAATTCAAGTGAAGAAAAGGGAACGCTATAATCATGTTGTTGCACAGCTTACTATCAACACTAGAGCTGGGAGGTGGGAAAAGCGCTGGAGTGAGGTGTTGATTGATGCTGAACATTTGCAAGTGTTGCTGTTGAAACAGTGCAAATGCATCAGATGGCATTATTAATAGAATGCCCATTTCTACACAATGCGCATGGTCAGTTTTCATTGTGACGTGTTTCGGAACTGACCAATATTTCAAACTGGTATTTGATGATGTACATTGTAAAAAATGGAAATCAGCTCAACTTTTAAATGATAGCTTATTATACAGCTTTTCTTGAACTCCAGGACAGTAGAATTCACCCAGCTCACGTTCGTCAAATGTACTTGAAATACACAGACTCTAAAGCATAAATATATAACAAAATTCATAATAATAAATGTACAAATACACACAGTTTTTCATTTTGACGTGTTTAGAACTGACCAGTATTTTAAACTGGTATTTGATGATGTACATTGTAAAAAATGAAAAGGCTGCTCAACTTTAAAATGATAAGATAACTTTTCTTGAACTCCATGACACTAGAATTTATCTTCAAATTAGGTAAATACACCTGGAATACAGTGACTCAGCATAAATATGTAACAAAATTCAAAATAATAACTTCAGAAATACACACAGTTTTTCATTTGCAGTACAATGTATGTATGTGAGTTATATACAAACATTGATAACACTAAGAATACTTTATTTACAGGCTTAATGTATGCCTTTTTGGAGTGCCAGTGATTTTTTTCCCCTGTAAAATTATATGCGGTCACATAAACATGTATAAAAATAAATGGTCTATATCTGGCGCAGTATGTAGTAGCTAGCTAACTTTATGTAAGTGCTGCTCTCTCTCTTAATGCCTCCTTCACTCTGTCTCACTTTCCTCTGACCCAAGGTGTTCATGTACCAGTCAGGTTCAAAGCACGTTGTTTTTTAATAAAAATGCTCACCATTTTGTAAATAGTCTAAATGTACTTGGGCGGGTGTCCATAAACCTTGGCACACCACCAAAGTATAACCTATGTATGGGACACACTGCATCCAGGTCAGTTAAAACACTGAATCATCAGCCCACAATTTCCATATCCCCTAATATTGACTTTGCGAGGGTATGAAATCAAAGATGTCTCTTGGATGGTCGTGGCTAAGGATAATACATTCAGGTGATTAAAACAGGTTCAAAAAGCAGAAGCCTTTTTCCATTTACATAGGGTATATTTAATGAGTCAATATAATTATCAGTGTCCTCCTCACATTAACTTTTCAATGACTTTAGTCTTGGCTTGGTAATTATCATTTCTATCTAAACCAGAAAAACAATGTAAGTAAAGCCCTTACCGGACTAGCAGGACCCATCATTAAGAATGCAGAGGCAGCATTTCTTACAGAGAATACTTAAGTATCTGAGCATCAGTAATGATGCTCGGAGAAGCTAATGATCTGCTCTTCATGGGCTCACAGGATAGATGAAAGAGCTCAATTGAATTTGATCTCTGTCCAAGCTCTCCTTCTTCTGACAAGTGTTTTGTATTTCTTGTGCATAAGAAAGTCATCTGATTTAGCTTTTTCTTTTGTGGTTGCAATTAATGATTCTGCATGTATCAGCGTTACCATTCATTTAAATCACTTTTTCCTGTATAGGTTTATTGAACTAATTACTTTAGGTGATGTTTTTTAACAAAAAAATGCTAATATTACCCTTGGATAATGCATCAACTCCAATGTTTCACATTATTTACTTTAATATTCTTTATTTTGACACAAGTTCTTCTGCTGTTCTTTTTTTTTCAGACCTATTCCCCAGTCCTGAAATCAAACTGCAAGGCAGATTCAACCCCATACAACCCCACAGGATATTTACTCCTTTTGAACATCTCTGAAGTTCTTTGACTCCACTGCTCAAGTTTTCAGAGGATAAAAGGTTGATCCAGCTACACTTGAACACTTGATGAAAATCTCACCACACTATCCCAGTCTCTTTGCTTCTCTGGGAATCCAAACCATCTTGGATCTGAGAGGATAAATACTGACAGCAAAAATGTCTAGAGGGACTGCTTTCTGTATTGCGCAGAGGCAGCCTTGCCTCTTTCTTCTCCTGGCAACGCTAACACTGTCCTCTGTTGAGGCTACAGAGTGTCCTCAGCTATGTGTGTGCGAAATCCGGCCTTGGTTCACACCCCAGTCCACCTACAGGGAAGCTACAACCGTGGACTGCAATGACCTGCGCCTTACACGCATCCCTGGTAACCTGTCGAGCGATACTCAGGTTTTGCTTCTGCAGAGTAACTACATTGCCAGAACCAGCGAGGAACTGGAGCAGCTCCTGAACCTGACTGAGCTGGACCTTTCCCAGAACAACTTCAGCAACATTCACGACATAGGCCTCACCAACATGTCGCAGCTCACCACGCTCCATCTGGAGGAGAATCAAATTGTTGAGATGCCTGACTTCAGCCTGCAGGACCTTACAAATCTTCAGGAGCTTTACATTAACCACAATCAGATCAGTTTCATTGCACCTAATGCATTTGCCGGGTTGCGCAACTTGCTAAGGCTCCACCTGAACTCCAACAGGCTCAAGGCCATCGACAGCCGTTGGTTTGATTCAACTCCCAACCTTGAGATCCTAATGATTGGGGAAAATCCTGTGGTTGGCATCCTGGATTTGAACTTTAAGCCTCTTGTTAACCTAAGAAGTTTGGTTCTTGCAGGGATGGAGCTCACCGACATACCAGGCAATGCTTTTGTTGGACTGGACAATCTTGAGAGCCTCTCCTTTTATGATAATAAACTGGTGAGGGTGCCTCAAAATGCTTTGCAGAAACTGCCAAACCTGAAATTTCTGGATTTGAACAAGAACCCTGTGCACAAAATCCAAGAAGGAGACTTTAGAAATATGTTAAGGCTAAAGGAACTAGGTATTAATAATATGGGGGAGCTTGTGTCCATTGATCGCTTTGCATTGGATAATCTCCCAGAGTTGACCAAACTTGAGGCCACCAACAACCCCAAGCTTTCCTTCATTAGTCGATTAGCATTCCGTGATGTGCCGTCTCTTGAGAGTCTCATGCTCAACAACAATGCTCTGAACTCCCTCTACCTGGCAACCGTCGAGTCCCTACCGAATCTGCGGGAGATCAGCATCCACAGCAACCCATTGCGCTGCGACTGTGTTATCCAGTGGATGAGCTCCAATAAGACCACCATTCGCTTTATGGAGCCTCTTTCAATGTACTGTGCGATGCCACCTGAAGTCAGAGGCCAGCGCTTGAGAGAGGTACTTTCTCATGAATCTGCTGACCAGTGTCTGCCCATGATCTCCCATGACACCTTCCCCAACCACCTTAACCTGGACATTGGTATGACAGTAGACCTGGACTGTCGCGCAATGGCCGAGCCTGAACCAGAGATATACTGGGTAACTCCTCTTGGTAACAAGGTCATGATGGATACCGTGTCTGATAAGTACCGTCTCAGCAGTGCAGGAACCCTGCACATATCTAACATTCAGGTGGACGACTCTGGTCACTACACATGCGTTGCTCAGAATACCGAAGGAGCTGACACTCGGGTGACTGCAATCCGAGTCAATGGTACCCTTCTGGACAGCACTCAGCTAATGAAGATCTACGTGAAGCATACAGAATCCCACTCCATATTGGTGTCCTGGAAGGTCAACTCCAACGTAATGACATCCAACCTTAAGTGGTCATCTGCCACCATGAAGATTGACAACCCCCACATCACCTACACTGCCAGAGTCCCCGTAGATGTCCATGAGTATAACCTCACTCACCTTCAACCAGCCACTGAGTATGAGGTCTGTCTCTCGGTCTCCAACATCCACCAGCAGACTCAAAAGTCTTGTGTCAACGTCACGACCAAGCACGCCACCTTTGCTGTGGAGATTTCCGACCAAGGCACCAACACGGCTCTTGCCGCCGTCATGGGTACGATCCTGGCCATCATCAGCCTGGGTTCCATCACCATCTACATTGCCAAGAGATGGAAGAGGAAGAACTACCACCATTCCCTCAAGAAGTACATGCAGAAAACCTCCTCCATTCCTCTGAACGAACTCTACCCACCTCTCATCAACCTGTGGGAGGTAGACAGCGAGAAGGACAAGGATGGCTCCTCAGAACTGAAACCCACCCAAGTGGACACGACAAGAAGCTACTACATGTGGTGAAGCCCATCAGACTGTTCTTTTAGAGCACAAAGACACATCTTTTGCTTATTTGTGCGACAAAAAGACGTGGATTGTTTTCTCCGCTTTGCTTACTGGAAGCAACTATATGAACTGATATCTCAGACATTTTAGTAGAGCGTATTGCCTTTCCCTCTCCTTCGACTCAACTTGGCAGCTTTGTTTAGTTTCCGAGACATGTTAGTTAGCTGTGCTTTTTTTCTGTTCACTCTATTTTAACAGCACAGCATAGATATTGTCAAAGATTATTATTTTTTGGGTCGATTAATGCTGTAGCAGTAAGTTTGATCCAGTATTGATATGTCTTTGGCAGTATTCATAGAGAATGCAAAGTTTCTTTCTCTCTTTTGTAAAACAGTTTAACTGTTGTGCACTGAAATATATTAACAATTTTGTCCATGGACTCAAATGTAAGCTGACAAGGTGAGTTTAGACTTGATACACTGTCTATTGAATAATGTTAGCAATTGTTCTGTAATGTTGTATCAACTATAATTTTAACTTTTTTTTTGATTTTATCAAACGTTATGTTTCGAGTTAGAACTTCAAGGGATGGTTCAACGTTTTAAAAAGTAAACCAAGTTTTTTGCGTAAACAGGGTCTAATCAATTCATCAATAACATTTTTACCTCCCTGCTTAAAGAGAGGCCGTTGCAAAGATGTGCTTTGTAATTGACATTCATAACTCCATACATGATATACTTTATGTGATAATTTGAGTGAGATATTCCATACACTTTGTCGTAGGCACCACTAATGTGCTGCAATTTTGAATATTCTAGATTTGTACTTTCTAAAAACATTGCATTCTGAAAAGAACATACACTTAGCTCAGAAATTATTCAGCTTTATACATTTAAATGCATTGGTAAAAAGTTAATAAAAGTAAAGAAATACAGATTACAGAGTTTAATCATTGCCCTCGGGGGATACTTTTTAATTTTTTTTAGTTAAGCAACATCTTCAAACTGCACATCAAAGTAAAACAAATAAATATCATAATCTGACTCTGGATAAGCAGGAAAATTGGAATTATTGCCAAAAAGTTGAACTATTGCTTCAAGATTGCAGGTAAAACTGTATACCAGCAATAGAAATGTGAATGTTTAACAATTAGGTGAGTAGAAAATAATGCTTTTTTAATTATTTCCTTTTTTTATTTGCTAGAATCAGTTATTGATCACTTGATTTGTTGTGATTTACACATGCAAAATATGTTGCATATTAAGGCGCAAACAAAAATAAACGACAGTTTTGTTCTGATATTTTTTATACAATGATTTTCAACCCAAGTGTCATTTTTCCTATTTGCATCACGTTATGCACCTTTAACACAGGAAAAGAACAGGAGGTCAAAGCCTCACCTTCTGCTGCACTCCATAAATGACCCAATAACTCAAATATGATGTAAAACATACACAATCACATTCAAAAGTTTGGGCACCGCTGGTCAAATTGCATGATTTGTTGAAGTTTCTCTACAGAAAATGCATTAGTGTTATTTATAAAATTAATTACTGTTTATTTGCTGTTTTTTTTTTTGCATATTAGAGAAAAATAAAACAAAAAATTGGAAAGAAAGTGGAAGAAAATGCCATATTTGGGTTCCCGCTAGAGGATGTGTTGTTATTTTCGCATAGAAATTCAACAAAACATGTCCTCTGGCCGGGGGTGTTCAAACTTTTGCATATGACCACATGTATTTATAAAAATCTCTCTGGTAATAAATCAGAGACACTGACAGGGTCAAGAAAAGCAATTTTGAGAATAAGATTAAAGTCCCGCTTTTCTTCAGCAATTGCCTTGAGGGCATATTATTCATCAAAGTAACTATTTTATGAATGATTCGGATTCTTTGCAGACTCATGGATAATTAAAGCTAATGAAATGTTCCTTTTTATGGACATTTAGTTCTCAAAGTTGGTGGTTATATGCGACCCATATGGTGGTCCACTGTCACAGATAATGGTTAATGACATTAGCTCCTGCTGCTTCTATTTCAGGACATCACAAATGAGAAGGAGAATGATCCAAAGAGAATGAGTAATACAAAGTTGGCACTCGTTGTTGCATTACTTTAGAATCGGCAGCTTCGCTTCTTAACAGCCAGACGCTGTGAAAATTAAACACACATATAAATATATATATACACACCGATCAGGCATAACATTATGACCACCTCCTTGTTTCTATGCTCATTGTCCATTTGATCAGCTCCACTTACTATATAGGTGCACTTTGTAGTTCTACAATTACAGACTGTAGTCCATCTGTTTCTCTGCATACTTTGTTAGCCCCCTTTTACCCTGTTCTTCAGTGGTGGGAACCTCATGGACCCTCACAGAGCAGGTACTATTTGGGTGGTGGATGATTCTCAGCACTGTGGGCAGCGTCCTGTGACCACTGATGAAGGGCTAGAGGATGACCAACACAAACTGTGCAGCAGCAGATGAGCTATCGTCTCTGACTCTACAAGGTGGACTGACAAGGTAGGAGTGTCTAATAGAGTGGACAGTGAGTGGACACAGTGTATAAAAACTCCAGCAGCACTGCTGTGTCTGATCCACTCTTACCAGCACAACACATACTAACACACCACCACCACATCAGTGTTACTGCAGTGCTGAGAATGATCCACCACCCAAATAGTACCTGCTCTGTGAGGGTCCATGGGGGTCCTGACCACTGAAGAACAGGGTAAAAGGGGGCTAACAAAGTATGCAAAGAAACAGATGGACTACAGTCTGTAACTGTAGAACTACAAAGTGCACCTATATAGTAAGTGGAGCTGATAAAATGGACAATGAGCATAAAAACAAGGAGGTGGTCATAATGTTATGCCTGATCGGTGTATAGATACACACACAGCTTCATGCAGTGGTGCTATGTGGAACCATTGTTAAAACGTTCTTTAAAGGACCATATACAACAGGTTTTACATCATAGATGTAAAAGAAGCATTCAAATGCAGCTTCGAGTGTTCACGGTTCTGTATAGAACCATGGCCTTTGTTAAAAAGCCCTTTAAGAACTATTTTTATATATATCCCACCAGCAGTCTGCATTTCCACTGGCTTTATTTCCAAGAAATTCTGCCCCTGTTGGGATTCCTTCACAGTGGGGGGATGGGGCCTTTATGCTTAAAGGAGCTGTATTTTAGCAAAATCCCTCCATTTCTCATTCCCCTCAAACATAATTCGTTCAGAGCATCTCTTATCTTTCTCTGCCTGTGCACAATAGAACATAAGTCTATTTTGAAAAAAAAATATTTATACCACAGTTAAAAAGCCATTTAAGCACCTTTTTAACCAAACTTGCTGCGTTTTCTGGCTGCAGAAGCCTCTGAGATTCTTAGCAATCAATGAAACCTTTCACCTTTATTAGAAAGTAACGCAGCCCCCTGGGCAGACAGTACGCTTTAGGTCACACCGTCTTCAGTGACCGTATTAAACTTATTCTTGTGGAAATATCCATGAACCAGTGAGGTCTTTACTGGAATATTAAACAGGCGCTTGGGAAGGGCACCTCTTTGAGCAGTTGTGATCTTTAACAGCTTTTCGTTGGCAACCAATACCTCTGACTTTATGCCAAGTACAAAGGTGCTTTCATACTGACATTGATGTCCTCCGAGAGGTGCAATGCAGCGCGTCTATTTGAAGACAGGCAAATCATTGGGGAAACACTTGCCAACCCACTAAGACAACACAGAGGATGGAACACAGTGATCTCTGCTTGCTCTTTCAACCAGACTGAGCCGTCTACCTGAATACATTAGCTGCTGAACTGAGCGTTTCCTCATGCAGGGAATAATTTCAGTCAGTGTGAGAGTACAGTTATTATGATATATATTATAATGCACTAAATATGCCAAATAACCTTTTAGAATCTTGCACTGTGCCCTCATTTATAATAAGAAGCAGTCTGGCCAAAACTGAATGATTTTAGTATAGAAGCCCATTCCTGCCAGTGAGACAAGAAAAACCTTTTTATTTAATCTCTGTTTCTGGCAGCAGTATGTCAAAATATTAATGTAATATCTTGATAAACTACCTATTTTCTCAAAATACTGTATTTGTATCTTGAAATAATGACTATATTTTCTCAAAATATTGTATTGATTTAAAATTTTCACTTTAAAAAAGATGGTTCTTCAAGCTCTTCTTAAGTAAAGACTATGGTTCTCTATAGACCCGTGAACCCTCGGGATCATTTGGTTAAAAGTTTCTTTACATCGTGAAAGAGTTTTTCAGATTGATGGAGAATGTGTTGTATATGGTTCTATATAGAACCTTTTTGGTGCTATATTGAACCATATACAACACATTTTCCATCAATCTGAAGAACCTTTTCACAATAAAAAAGAACCCGTCAATTGTCAAATGATTCTTTGAGGGTTCGTGGTTCTATATAGAATCATTGTCTGTACTAAAGAACTTTAAGAACCATCTTTTTTAAGTGTGTTGAAATAATGACTTATTTTCTCAAAATGTTGACTTAAAATCTCAAAATGACTCATTGTCTTGAAATATCGAAATGTTGACTTAGTATCTAGAATGAATGACTTATTTTCTTGAAATAATGACTTAATTTCTCAAAATATTGTATTGACTTAATATCTTGAAATCATTTTCTTAAAAATATCAAAATGTTGACTTACTATCTGAAAATAATGACTCCTTTTCTTGTAACTTAATATCTTGAAATAATGACTTATCTTCTCAAGATTTTGAGACACTATGAAATAATGGTCACACGTTATTTGGATGGTCCTCTATAGATGATCTACAGACACTTGACTTATAAACAAACTTTGGTGATACTCAGTTGATTATAAACAACATTATAGTAACAGTTAGGTTTAGGAGTAGGTGTAGGTTGGGGTTAGGTTTAGGAGTAGGTGTAGGTTGGGGTTAGGTTTAGGAGTAGGTGTAGGTGTAGGTTGGGGTTAGGTTTAGGAGTAGGTGTAGGTTGGGGTTAGGTTTAGGAGCAGGGGTAGGTTGGGGTTAGGTTTAGGAGTAGGTGTAGGTTGGGGTTAAGTTTAGGAGTAGGTGTAGGTTGGGATTAGGTTTAGGAGTAGGTGTAGGTTGGGAATAGGTTTAGGAGTAGGTGTAGGTTGGGGTTAGGTTTAGGAGTAGGGGTAGGTTGGGGTTAGGTTTAGGAGCAGGGGTAGGTTGGGGTTAGGTTTAGGAGTAGGTGTAGGTTGGGGTTAAGTTTAGGAGTAGGTGTAGGTTGGGATTAGGTTTAAGAGTAGGTGTAGGTTGGGATTAGGTTTAGGAGTAGGTGTAGGTTGGGGTTAGGTTTAGGAGTAGGGATAGGTTGGGGTTAGGTTTAGGGTTAATGTTAGATTTAAAGGAATCTCTCACTGAACTTCAAGTTCAGTTGCATTTAATAGATATTTAGTTGAAATTGAAATTTAAGACAGACTGAGCATCTACAAAGCATCTACAGTGGACAATTAAAATAAAGTGTTACCAACAAAGTTAGTTATTAAATTTCAAGAAAGTTATTATTACGAGAAAGTAATTATTCTGACGTAGTAGGTCATTATTTTGACGTAGTGTTACTATTTTGACATAGTAAGTCATTACTTTGACATAATAAGTCTTTATTTTGTGGTAGTAAGAATGTGTTTTGTGAAAATAAGTCATTATTTTGAGATGCTGTGTAAAAATGTTGACATACCACTGCCAGAAACAGAGCATGAGAAAAAATGGCAGGTGATTTTTTCCTCCTCTTTCTGGCAGGAATGGGCTTCCTTAGAGACTGTGGCCAAGATTTAGTTCATGCATCAGACCAGGGTACACTTGTAAAAGATTTCTAAATCTTCTTGGATTTGCATGCAGTTCTAGGAAAAACCTTTATTGATACAGAACCTTTATATTGTACAGAGGTTCTTTCAACTTTGAAAAACCATTAGTTATAAGGTTCTTTAGGGAACTCTTTTCTGCCCCTTTATTTTTAAGCGAGTACCATCCTCAGGTCCCATAATGAAGGCCATTTTTTCCAGCACAAGGCCGCAGTGCTCAACCACTTTTCCCCTTTGTTTCGATCCCAATGTGTCAGTAGCCGGGCTCACGAACTGCTGCTGGTTTTGTACCCTTTAGACTAACAATCAAGAGTGTCAAAGCGGTGAAAGGTTTGAAATGCGGAGTCTGTCCAGGGGCTTTGTTAACATGTGGACCAGCACCTGGCTGTGCCTCAGAGTGCCGCTAATTGACAGGTCATCCAGGCTGTTGTTTGGTAGTGCTGCCAAAAGGAAGGTAAACGAGTTCTTAATGCAG